CAAAGATTTGGGAGGCTTTTCTATATTTGTTGCATGCTCTAAGATGGTTTGTGTGGGTTAAATGTGAGAGTCGGTGTCTTCTACACCCCTATCGACTGCTGATTTAGTAGATTTTCTGCGGCTTGATTCAGCGAGAGATGTTGCCTGATAAGTATTATGTAACTATGTCGCCCTCTCAAATACCACTGTTTTTCTAACAGATGGTTGAGTCCTAAGAATATGAGCGTCCTTTCAAAGAGTTCTTTGATATCTCTAGTGAGGCCACTTTTGTTGGCTCGAAACGAGTTCTCGAGATAGCTCTGTTGGAATAATATCGGAATCCATTCTCGTCACGTATCCAGCTCAAAGACTTTTGTAGTTTCGCTTCAACACTTGCGGATTTGGATGGAACTAGAGCCTGAGTGTTAGAAATCGCCTCAATACCTTTTTAGAATGATGTGAATGCATGGTGACTGATTCGGTGGGCATAGGTGGCACCAGAATACAACACAGCAATTGTCAGCACATGCAAGAATGAGTTATATATATATATATATATATATATATATATATGTGTGTGTGTGTGTGTATGTTAGATTGATGATCCGAAGTTCTTTAGTATTTTTGTTTTTATTTAAAAAAACACACACAAAAAACAGTTCTTCATACAGATGTAGAGCTTAAAATTATAATAATATTTTTTCATATTTAAAATCAAATTATATAACGATTTAAAAAAAAGTGAATTTTTTTTAAATCGTAGTTAAATAAAACGTATTCTAAATAAAACAAATATACAAATAGAAAAAAATGTAAGAATTTTTGCCGTTAACAATAAATTAAAAAAAAAACGACATGCATTTAACGGATGTCAGAATTCATTGAAATATACATCCCTACCCCTACCAAAACGTAACTAACAACTGATACAACAAAATAGAGCGATAATGAACGCGCAAACACCTCTTGTCTACATGAATGGGTTTCTCTCTATCCTTGGAAACGTGAATTAAAATTTTTGCTGTGCTTTTAAAACCCAGTAATAAGTTACTCCAAAATTCGCTTGAGCATGAAATGGACTAATGTCTTTAATTTAATTACAAAATTAAATTCGAAGCTTTTAGCTTCCATTTTTGAAACATAGTTAGAACTGTGTAGCGGAAAAAAACATATTTTAAATCAATTAATCTATAATATTAATGCTCTGTAAATTTACATTGAGCACTATTTTGTGAAAATAAAAATATCTATCAGAACACCGGATTATATATCTTACTGTTCTTTCTTTTTACTGTTGTATTATTGTTGTAGAGTAGTTTTCACAGCGGAGGCTTGTATTTCACTAAGTCGGTCCTAAAAGGGCCCGACGTACAAAACGTTAGGAACTTGAAATAATAGTCAATGACGCAGTAATCTAGTTGTAGTGGTTGATACTTTAATGTCCGACATCGACTGACACACCAACTCCACTGAGCCCCCGCCCACTGGCGACTGCTACTACTACTACTTATTATCTGTGAGAGAGTCTATTAACAATAGAATAGGTATGTTCCAGTATAACATCCCCCCTAAAACTTTACTCCGTAGGAGTAAAAAGTTTTATTTATTTTTCATTTTTTTTACAGAAAATATGAAGAAAAACAACAATTTTTTTAAAATTTAAAAAAAAATTTTTTAAGCAACATCGTAGCGTATTTCCTACGTTTTTTTTTTATCCACTTTTAAATGATCAGTTGCCTTTCTTTTTTTCTTCTGAATCAGCATGCCTCAGGTAAAATTGTTTGCTGGCGTTGTTAGATCAAACGTATTGAAAATCACCTCCATCGGCGTTTTTTTCCGCGGCACCGCTGTCAACCACGTCTGAAAAACGTCGTCTGATCTGCTTACGGCACGCGAGTTTTTCCCCTTTCACCAAGTAAATCATATAGCCAATCCGCTTTTCTATATTTTTTTATACCTCCATAGTGTTACCAGAGGCAACCTTCCGCTTTGCGCTTCTTATGGTGGACTCATAGTTTTTGTATGTTCTTCTTGTTGACTTAAATCATTTAATATTACTGCATGTCCTTGGCTGCGGGTAACTCGTTTCAGTGTCGGCTTCATTTTTCATTTCTGGAGCTTGTTTTTTACGTATATCGTCGGTGTTACCCACTCAACTTTTTTAAATACCGCGGTTTTCTCTAATCTGTCCAATTCTTTATCTGTTCAATTGAAGCAAACCGCACATTCCTTTTCTTTTTGAATACCGCCTGAGCGTTTTGTTTTGGCTGTAACTTTGCCTCCATCTTGGTTCCCAAAACTGGAGAAAAAAACAGTAGGAACTGTTTCCTTAAGTTTCCTTACTAATTTTTGGGCTTCGCAGTTTAAGTTTTCAACAGAAAGAATTTATCGGTAGATCCCATAATTGAAATTCTGTTATCCAATTCGTACCAAGTGGTATTTTTTATGAGAAATAGTTTACCTTTTTGCGTTTTTTATTTAACGTGACGTTTGTAACAAATTCTCCAATAAAATGTATTTTTTCTCCCGTCACTGACCTCGCGATATTATTTGTTTTCATTAAAGTTGGTTTCCCAAACTTCTTCCACGTATTCTAATTTATGATAGATGGGTCGGAACCAGTGTCGAGTTGCATTTTTATTTTTTTATTACATATTTCGACGGTAACAAATTTTCTGGTTATTCCGTCGTTCACTTCGTCGGACTTCAATTTTCTTATTTTGATTTTATTTTTTGACCTGCAGTGCGAGCTTTTATGCCCCACTCTTTCACAGTTGAAACATTTTTTATTCCTAAAATTGCAATATCTATACCAGTGAAGTTCACCGCAAGCAAAACATGGCTTCGGGAGTTGTTTATTTTTTTCTGGTATTTCACTATTTGTTTGATAATCCACAATTTTAGAATTCTTTTTGGTAGACTGACTTTCTTTTTTGTAGCGTATTTTCCTTACATGCGAAACGCCAGACTGTTCTATCTTTTTCGAGTCTTTCTTTACGCTAACATATCTTGTGCAGTCTTCTGCCAAATTCTGTATCGTAATTCTTGGTTCGTTTTCCAATTTTGAAAGTATCAATTTCCTCAATTCTGCGTCTTTTTCTGGGAAAGAATCATTTTGTAAATTTTTCTCTTTCCTCATTTCAGTTATTTCCAGAAATTTGTTTTGAAACTCCTTATGCATCAGTTCCATTTCTCGTTGAAACTGCATCTGTCTATTAAAAGTTTCCTCCTGTAATTGCATCTGGAATATTTTCTGTTGCTCTAATATTGTCATTTGTTGTTCCGTCTGGAACTTAAAAAATTCTTGGAATATATTTCTGCATTCCTCCATCTTCGCAAAAAGGTTACACAATGCTTACATATTGTAGAGTGGTGGTGGGGGTCCAAAACGAATTTGCAATTCGTAACCTATTTGAGCAAACTGTCTTATTGAGAAAAAAAGATTCTTTTCTCAGTTGAGAATATGACTGATTTTTTCGTCATTAAGTTGACGTCTTGTCTTCCGAAAAAATTTTCCAAGTTTTTTTTTTTAAATGTGAATCCAAGATGTTGTTGCCGAAAATTTGACGAGCAAGTTTTTTTTTCTTTTTCCTCCGTATGAAAACAAATTTCGTCACTAAATAATGTGGTGAGCGAATTTTTTTCTTTCACTGTATGAAATCCGAATCCCTCGTACACCAAGTTTGTTATGGCGGGTGACTTTTTTTTCTCTTCTGTATGAGTTACGAATCCACGTCGTCAAGTGTTGTAGAGTGAACGAAAAGTTTTTTTTCCTCCGTTTGAATTCGAATACGTTCGTCGCCAAGTGTTGTATATGGCGAAACGAATTTTTTTTTCTTTTTTTTTTGTTTCCTCCGTATGATTTTCGAATCCTGGTCGCCAAAGTTGTTATAGAGTGAACGAAAAATTTTTCTTCCTCCGTATGAGAAACGAATCCCTCGTCGTCAATGTGTTGTAGTTTTCACAGTGGAGGCTTGTATTTCACTAAGTCGGTCCTAAAGGTGTCCGACGTACAAAACGTTAGAAACTTGAAATAATAGTTAATGACGAATTAATCTAGTTGTGGTGGTTGATACTTTTAATATGTATATATATATATATATATATATTATATATATATTATATATATATATATATATATATATATATATATATATATATATTATTGTTAGAGTAGTTTTCACAGTGGAGGCTTGTATTTCACTAAGTCGGTTCTAAAAGGGTCCGACGTACAAAACGTTAGAACTTGAAATAATAGTCAATGACGCAGCAATCTAGTTGTGGTGGTTGATACTTTAATGTCCGACATCGACTGACACACCAACTCCACTGATCCCCCTCCAGTGACTGCTGCTACTACTACTTATTATCTGTGGGAGAGTCTATTAACAATAGATAGGTATGTTCTGGTGTAACAATTATATATATATTACATATATATAATATATATATTATGTATAATATATATATATTATATATATATATTATATATATATATAGATATATATATATATATATATATATATATATACATACATATATATGTATATATATATATATATATATATATATATATATATATATATATATATATATACACATATATATGTATATATATACGTATATATACACACATAGATATATATATATATATACGTATATATACACATACATATGTGTATACATATATATATATATATACATACATATGTATATATATACGTATGTATACACACATACATATGTATATATATATATATATACGTATTATTAATTTTTACCGCTTATTAACCCTTTGCATGTTATTTAAACCTAGGAAATATTTTAAGATTAGAAGAATAGTGGTTTAGTGATACCAGTCTTACTAATTAAGCAATTGATGGGGAGAGAAGAGGTGGATTCATGCCTTTCCCAAGGGTATTTACGCGTGACTGAACATAACGAAAGGAAAGGGAATTGAAAGTTAGCTATTCGATTAACAATTCGAACCATTATATATTACATTAACCACAAATCCTGTATTACAACACCTGGTATTCCCAAGCGGTCACTCACCTAGATACTACCAGGCTCGATGTTGCTTAACTTCGATGATCGTACGGGAACCGGTGTTTCATGATATGGCCGTAAGCCAAAGGGAGAAATATGTTGAAAAATCTTCCTGTATCTCTATAATAATGAGTGGATTGGTAGCGGAACCATATCAATCTTTAAAACATGAGTTTTTTTTTCTTTCCTTTCACCGCCCAAACAGAGGCAGCATTTGTGTTCTGTTAACAGAAATGACTACCAAATATTCTGAGACAGGTTTTCTAAACATTACATCATGCCTGGCTTTAGCCACCCCCACTTGAACCATTCTGCTTCCTTTTTTTTTGCAAAAGACAACCAGAACTATCTGTCTGTGCGTGTGCTTTTTATGCAAGTGTAAGAAAGATTTAACCTGGCTATTTACTACCTGTGCCACTCGTTTTAGAAACGTCGGAATGAACGTGTAATGGAATTAATTAAAAAGCAAACAATATCAAGAAAACTCAGGAACATTATGAAATTGAAGGAGAGGTTATGAATTTGATGTTTCTACTACGAAAAAGTTTAATATCTCAAAATCAGACCCAATGGAATTATAAAATTATTTTCTTGTTTGGACAATGATAGCCTGTCGTCTGAAAACTTGTTTCCTGACATTTTTGCTTTTCCGTTGATTATACAAAATTATTAATTTTTAAATTCTCATATACTGATCAGTTCATTTTTTTACAAGTATCTACTTACAGAAAAACAACGTACCCATTCTCCTTCCCATCTCTCTCTCTATTTTATGCCATATCCCTTCAGGACGTGGATGCTCATGTTCCTCACAATTTCCTGTTTTTTGTTGTAGGCAATATTGCATTCTTTGTGACATCTCATTGTTATAATTGTTTAGCTTTCGTCGAAAATAAATGACACGATTTATGAAAAAAACAAAAAAAAACCAACAAACAAAACAAAACAAAACAAAAAAACAACAAAAAACGGACGAATACGCAATTTTAAAAGAAATAAATAAAAGAAACACCGATGGATACCTTATTTATGATAACGGTTGTCTTGAAAAGACTAAATGCAAACAGACGACACACATATAAATTCAGCTGCTGTCAAAGGATATCGACGTATGTGCACGAATTTAGTTTCATTTGCCTGAAGCATATATAGAATATAGTTAATCTAAACAAGCTGAAAATGATGTTTAGTTTCGTATTTTCTGTTTTAATGAACTTTGAAAACGAGACGAATTGATGTGTTGATTATTTTAATGCAATTTAATTTAAGGGGACGGAAGAAATCGTTTACATTTCTGTATTTTATAAGGTTTGGAAATATATTTTTTCAAAAACAGTAAAAATATTTCTTTGTGTAAAATTGATAAGGACATTAACATTTTTTATAAGTTTCCGAATTTTGGAATAGCAATGGTTTATTTTTCCAATTATTTTCTAGAACTTATCAATATAATATTAAAATGCAAACTCTAAAAATGCTTATGACAGTCGTTGCTAAGAAATCTGATGCTTGGATTAAATTTTTCCTCATGATATTTTTATTCACCTCTTCGCCATTTGCTATTATTAGTGTTCGTACCAAATGCATCACTGTATTTTGATTAAATTAAAAAAACATAAACTGTTAATATATTTTATGAAGGAATTGTCTATCCTCTTGAAATATTACACACACACACACACACACACACACACACACATATATATATATATATATATATATATATATATGCAAAGATCGCATACAAGTTTTAATTTACTTTCGCTGATATTATAAAGGGTGCAAAATTCAAATTGAAAAATATAGAAATATTATACTTTCTTTTCTCTCTAAAAGCTCTGTGATTAAACAAACAACAACTTTTCACTTCAGAGGAAACAAAATTTAAGCGTAATCTCATGCGATACAATAACTTTATTCTACAGTTTTTTGCTTCTGTTTCTATTGAGTTAATAATCTTGAAAATTTTCCGAAAATAAAGATATAATGAATTAGAAAAGATGGCATATAATTTCTACCACAATTATAATTGCAGACTTTGTATAAATATTTCTAAATCTTAATAAAATACAAGAGAATTTAGTAAAAGTCACGTTACGATAATTGTGGAAATCCAACGTGATAAAGATAATAATTTTCAATACTTTGGATACATGCTGTGGATTGTTATAAAACGAAAAAAAGAAAGAGAAAATAAAAAAGAGGAAGAGAAAAATAACTGCAACAGTAAGTAGAGTTAAAATGTAAATGCTAGCGATAACGGTAGTGGAGATGGCATTAACGTCTCTAATAAGAAATCACTAATAGTGGGACTAATAAATAAACTTGAAGCCAATGTATGGGGTACTTTCACGCTAACTCAAAGGATTTGGGCGGCGATGAAATAAAGAATCTTCGTAGTGAATAAACATCTCAGATGACTTGATGTATCAAGTCACTCACAAATTGTCTTCTAAAAAAACGGCTTTCTTTTTCAGTCTTAGCTGAAAGTTACGGTGGAGTAATGGATAGTTCCTCGGATTGAGGAATCGGAGAGCCGAGTTCGAATTCAAGTTGGATCCATTACATTCACTTACGTGCTAATTCCATTGGGAAAGGTATGAATCCTCTTCTTATCCAGTTATGGGTAAATAGCAGCACAGATCGGGTTCTATAGCCTTGGATGGCAACTGATCTACCGTAGAAAGAAATAGCAATCTACTGCGGGAAAAAAAATCTTCTTCGTCAGTCATGTATTGAAAGACACATGATCGTCTAAGCATCTATCAAGCATGGTACATAACTGATTGTTTGAGTTCTTTTTAAAGTGTCGCCTAGTTCACCACTTTATTTTACTTCAAAAGAGTTATTTTTGTAACTGATTAAAATGCAGGAAAAAACAAGACGGTGAGTGCCCTGACATCTTGAACACCTTGGAGACAGTTCGATAACATTGCATTACATTCACCTATAAAAGAAACAAAACAAAAACAAAAACAAAAACAAAAAAAAACAAAAAAAAACTAGTATTTTAAATTAAGAGGAAAAAAACAGAATCTAATTTAATATTCTTAAAATCAGAGGTATTAAAATTTTCTTTTCTTGAAGTTAGCCCAACGCCTTTGTTATAGGATATTGATTTTTATCCCCCAGACTAGAGAGAGGGGTTTGCAATACTCACCCTTCTTTCCATCAGAGTTTTCTATGACAATTGATTGATTTTGGCGCTTTCCTGGACTATCTGAATTATTTGCAATCAGTCATGATGCCAGTGATTTTGTCTTTACTTGGGACATAATAAGGCAACGTTGGTTACAGACAAAATTATATACAAATGTATACATAAAAAAAGAAAAAAATGTGGAAAAAAGACTAACTTATATAAAATATTTCAAGATCATTAATTCTGCGGATATACTGTATTCAAGCCAGCACTAAAGAACATACTGGAATTGTTTCTGGAAAAAAAATAAACACACGCCCCTCACCACCACCCCCGTAAGGAAATCGCATAAAAAACAAACAAGTAAAAAAAATACAAAACACACACACTAAAAAAAAAAAAACAAAAACAAACAAACAAATTCAATTTAACTGACATGATAATGCTGCTACTTTTAAATTCACAAAATTACTTCATATTAAATAATTAAAGCGGATATGCGTGTAGCGTTTTGATTACCGGCTCGAAAAATGGGTTTGACTTGTATGTGCCGTGTCCCTTCAGGAAGTGTAATGATCAGCAACGTCTGTCCCTTTGAAAAGCTTCCCACTGTCTCCCGTTCCGGCATTGATTCGCACAATCGCCACGGATAGATGGCTCGCTGCCTTCCCCTGCTCCTCTTGCCCTTGATCACGGGAGTATCTAATTCTCCAAGCCCTCCTTCTTCATCGCGTGTCCAAACAGTTTCAGGTACCTCTTTTTTATATTCTGAGTATAATGTCCATTTTCCTTGAGACGTTTTCATTGCTTACGCACCCCGTCCATGGTATTCTCAGTATCCTTCTGTAGAGCCGCAGTTCTCTTGCTTCGAGTTTTCTATTAATTTGTGATGAGGTTGTTCAGCTTTTACTGACATTTACGAGGATTGATATTGCATTATAGTCCAGTACTCTTTTGTTTTTATTTCTACCGAAATTGGCTTACTGAGTTCAAATTCTAACCAAGACGATTGTGCTCGGTTTCACACAAATAGTCTAAGAAATGTAAAAATACACCTCTTCTTCGTCCAGCTAAGGGTTAATGGTCTTGGCTGTCTCGCCTTGTTTGGACTACAAGGAGAAGGAAGAACCGTAAAGATCCCTTGCTACAGGAAGCGCAGCAACAACGCCTAGCGTGAAGAGAGTCTATGATCTTAAACTCTACAGGTGAATGTGCATACGTACATACGTATTTAAAGAAGCGCAAACATTGACGGGTGAAATTGCGTACATGTACCCCGCTAAAGCATATGTACAAATACATCTGATATTGCTGTAAAAGTTTAACAATGTTATCAGCACGGACAAGTTTTTCTGTGTCGCAGGCCAGTTTCTCTATGCCGATACAAAAACATGTGGTGAGTATATTTTTTAACAACATTTATTTCCTGTCCATATTTTTTAATCAACGGTTTTACATTGGTGATTTTCGAGTTGCGATAAAAAAGCAATAGAAGTAAGATAAAAGACAAGACAACAATTAATAAAATCTGCTTCTTTTTGAAGTTACTAAAGCAGTAAAACTAAAAGCGAGATTTCATAATGTATAAATCCGGAAAACACAATCAGGGTCTTTTCTGTTAATTCTCCCCAACGGCATTCACAGAGACAGCAGCGCCATCTATCCTGTCGATCTGTTAAGCTCAAGCATTTAGAACATTTCATCGACGTAGGAAGAATATTTATTTTTGTAAGAAGCGAACACGACTCTCCTTGTTTTTGCATTCTTGTATTAACTCCAGCATCTTCGTGGCAAACTAAACAAATTTTGATTTAAAATTTATAATTTCAAAAGAGAGCCAAACATTTAATAAAAACAAAAAACAAAAAAACTTTGATTTTAAATTTATTATTTCTTGAGGTAAATTAATATTTGCGATAAGTAAGTTTACATTATTTGGGATGATTTAACAGAGAAGATCCCACAATTATTCTAATTTATCTAATTATTATTATTATTATTATTATTATTATCATCATCATTATCATTATTATTATTATTATTATTATTATTCTTATTCATATTCTTATTCTTATTCTTCTTATTCATATTCTTATTCTTATTCATATTCTTATTCTTCTTATTCATATTCTTATTCTTATTCTTCTTATTCTTCTTCTTCTTCTTCTTCTTCTTCTTCTTCTTCTTCTATGTGCCGTGTTCATTTAGGATGTTGGTGGCCATGGCTATTTCTGTAGGTTTTAATAAATTTTGTCTTTTTATCTTTCTTAAACCCTGTTTTGCCATCCATTTACTCAAACTAGTTCGGTAGATGCGTTGTTTGCTTTTGTCTCACTTCAATGTCTCTTTCCTCATTAGACGGTAGGTAACAGCTATTTGCACAGAGAGGTTAATCGGCGAGTCGAGTTCAAATTCCAGTCACATCTGTTATGTTCACTGTCCCATTAATGTTTTGTGGAAAAGATATAAACCCATCTTTTCTGCAACAGCTCGACCGACAACTAACAGTTTTCTAGATCGCATCTACCGTGCCTGACAGCTTTACCTCTGGGCCCCTACCAAGAGGATTCCGTTTACTAGGTACCACTAAAAACGAGCATATAATGATGAAAAAAGACCCCAAACTTTATAAAAACAAATTTTTATCGTAAAAATATTTATGTTATTATAGAGGAAAGATCATAGTATTTTTTAATTACTTTATTAATTTTTTAAATCCTTTCTAGCACGTTCAAAATTTTAGTTAAAAATTTTGTTTTTCTTGTATCAGCGGGTGAGCCAAAGATCACTATTACTATTTAGCTTTTTTTGGTGTTAAAAGCATGTTGTTTTGGAAATTCTTGCAAAAATCAAATAATTGTTCGATTTTAAAGAAATTTTTAGGACTTATTCACAAATGAATCAATTGTTTTTAGAAAATCTTAGTAAACAATTGCTTTTTTTACATCTGTTAATTTTATGAAATTTCGAGAAATTAAAATTTTAGCCTCTTCATATTTATATTAATTAAAGGCTTGGAGAATTTAAATCATCAAATTGTTTTCGTGAAACAGAAATCTGCTCTGAATCGTAAAATAAAAAAATGCAATAAAACTGACATTGTTTAATTTGAAACGCATTTAATTGCTTTTATACATACGATATATAAAGGACGCTATAGTCTTAAGAACAAATTATTTTCAATGAATAATGATATTTTAAAAATTGTTTTCATTTAAAAAAATTAATTAGAATAATTTATTAAGTTTTAAATATTTTAAAATTCTGTATTAATTTCAGCCTTTTAGATGGAAAGCAAAAACTATATTTACTGATCGCAAATGGAAAAGATTAATAAAAATCATCAAACACCAATATTTTTAAAAGAACTTTGATTATTTTTGTATGTGTATAAACGTGCCGAATTTTTGTAAGTATGGGTGAACTTACACGACATTATAAGAAAATAAGATCGATAACTACAGTGAATTTAAAGTCAACATTTCTAAAATTCACTAAAACATTAGATTACGGAGAGTATTTTCCTAAATTTTTAATATTACTGAGTACTTAAAAATTATATAAAAAACACTCACGTCATTTTCTTAAATAATGTTTTACATATAAATTCTCAGTAGAACAACCTGTCATAAGCCTGTTAAGGCAGCTATTATGGGGTTAAAAAATGAATTTATACGATATTTAAACTTAAAGTAAATAATGTTTCAAATCAGATTGATTATACTTTAAATCAACTAATATCCCTCAAATAAAGTTTCAGAAAACTATATTTTATATTCGCAAGAGAATTACATTTCGATGAAAAACCACAAAAAAAAAAAAAAAAAAAAAAATCATCTATTTTAACAAAAAAATCCTTCCGGTCAATTTAAATTACTTTTTGAAATACAGAAAAGTATTTTGATTATTGGAAATGTTAAATTTAATCTAGTAGCTTGAAATTAAAACTAAAATAAAAGCTTTTTCATCTTTAAATATTCATTTTAAACCATAGGTATCGGATATTTGGGAATGGTCTCTGAATTTACTGTTCAGCACTCGTGGCAATTCGGTTTTACGGCTACATCACGTTAAAATACCGGTTTACGTACGATCACCAAAGTTAAGCAATGTCGTGTCTAGTCAATACCTAGATGGGTGACTGCTTGGGAATACCAGGTGGTGTAATGGTTAATGGCTCGGAATTGGAGCAGAGTAGCAATTCCAGTTATGTTCATTATATTCACTTACGCGCAAATATCCTTAGGAAAGGCATGAATCCATCTCTTCTCCCTCCAGCTATGGGTTAATTAGTAACACGTGTATCAATAAATCATTATCACCAAAAGAAAATCTAAAAATATATTTTATAGCTGATAAGCCGTAGAAAACGACTCAATCGAATTATGACAATTCACATATCTATTTTCTGAATTGATCATTTTCCTGAAATTAGTGACTACAAGGTTACGCCACTACCATTGTTCTTTTTGTGCACACCATCACTAGGAAAGCCATTTACGAAAGACAAAAAAGAGATAATTTACTGGCCATAAGACATGGCTATACTCTGCCAAACAAATATTTTTAGAACACGTGGATTATTATTATTATCCTTTTTATTTTCTTTGATTTCTGGCGTTTACACATTTCTTTCTGGGTCCCGCCCAGGGACCTAAGGTTAGAGATGGCATCATAACACTTTCCACTGACAAAGAAAAAAAAAATTACATAGATAAAGCCCTTCGTAAAGTGTGGGCTGTACTTGTCAGAACAATTTTTTGTATCTCTTTGAGGCATGGACTTCCAGGAATCCCTTAAATTAGTCTACTGGAATCTTTTCCAATCAATTCTAGGGCTCCAAGTACAACAGGGATTGTTGCTGTTCCCATATGACACATTTTTGAGATTTCTATTTCAAGGTCTTTGTATTTTGACAGCTTTTTGAATATCTTCAACGATATATTGCAGTCAGCAGGGACTGCCATATCAATAAGGAGGCACTTTTTTGTTTGTGATTATTATTATTAATAATATTTACTAAACAGGAGGAACCCACAGCAGCGAGCTGCATATTAATGATCAAACTTTCTATATTAATAAACTTCCAACCTAACATCAGCTTCACCGCTTTACACCCTTTTCAACTACTAAGTTTAGTTTTTTATTGTCACTGGACCATAGCAGTAATATATTCAACGAAAATAAAACTCACAATGCTTGAGAAGACGATCTTGCTAAATCACGCAACACGCTAGATACCTAATCCTTATTATTATCGTGAGTGAGAGCAGCACACCAACAAAGTGACGCGACTGTATAAATATACGAAACCCAATATATACATCACGACAATCAGTCTGATAAAAGGATACCAAGCTCGTGATTCACAACAAAATGTGCACGATATTGAGACAGGTTTTGATGAAAGCAGGTGGGACCCAGAAGAAATACTCAGAGGCTGCCTCATCCTTCAATCTTAAAATATCATCTCGACGTCCATCCCCACTACTCCGGCTCATGAACAGATAAGCACAGTATGTCATCCTCTTAGGTACATGCCCAGCTGGTTAAGGTCAGGCAACTGACAAGTAAATCTGCGGTACTGAATGGGAATTTGTTGTAGCCCAGCTGAATTCACCAATACAAAAAAGATATATGTTAACACCCTCAAACAATTAAGATCAGAAATCATGGGAGATATGCCTGGTGTATAATTGGGGGTATTTATTATTATTATTATTATTATCATCATCATTCGATTTCTGCTATGGACATACTACCTACCAAGTCTGCGGAAAGACCTAAGGCAGGTCGTGGTGTGTTGTTATGGCCACATTTCATGTTAATTTTTTTTTTTTTTTTTTATCTCCGATGAAGTTGCTAGCGTTACATAGACAAAGTTCTCCTTAGTGTGTGTGCTGTACTTAATAAGACAATTTTCTGTATGTCTCTTAAGCTGGGGTTTTCAGGGATTCTTTCAATGTGTTGTTTTGTTCCATTTTTATAATTCCAAGTGCACCTATTACCACTGGTATTATTCTTGTTTTCAATTTCCACATTTTTTCTATTTCAATTTCCAGGTCTTTGTATTTTGATAGTTTTTCAAATTCCTTGGTTGCTATGTTACAATCCGCTGGACAAGCCATATCAATTAGTAGGCAAGTTTTTTCTTTCTGGTTTTTGACAATAATGTCCGGCCTATTTGCTTCAATTTTTCTGTCTGTGTGGATGGTATAATCCCATAGAATGGTGACATCTTCTATTTCTGTAACCGGCGCTGGCCGATGTTCATACCAGTGTTTGCTTACACATTTTCCAAAGTGTTTGCACATTGTCCAGTGTAAGTATTGCCCCACTCTATCGTGTCGATTTTTTATATTCATTTGGGGCAAGTATAGAACATCCTGAGATTAGATGGTCTATTGTTTCTTGGTATTTGTCACAGAACCTGCATTTTGGATCCACATTATTATGTATGATATTTGCCTGAAAATTCCTAGTGAAAAGACTCTGGTCTTGCGCTGCAAGAATAAAGCCTTCAGTTTCAGACTTTAATCCAGATGCTCGTAACCATCGATGAGTATTAACTTTATCAACATTGGGTTTATTTGCACGTTCTGGATATTGGCCATGCAGAGGTTTGTCTTGCCAGCGTTGTTTCATCTGTTCAAGGGCTTTATCCTTGGCTTTCTTTTTCATATCTTTTGCTGCAATAGTTGGTTCTTGGCTTCTGTTTTGATTTACTACAGAATCTACTAAATGTAAATGTTGTTTGTATTTACTGCCTTCTTTTATTATTGAATATTTTTTCTTTCTGTTTTCATGTTGTTTCACTAATTTTATCATCCAGTCATTTGTTGTTTCCATGTAAGTTAGTAAGCCAATAGTTGTTGTCTTGTATGACAATTCTAGCTGAATAAGACCTCTTCCACCTTTATTATTATTATTATTATTATTATTATTATTATTATTATTATTTCCTTTGATTTCTGGCGATTACACATTTCTTTCCGGGTTCCGCCCAGGGACCTATGGTTAGAGATGGCATCATAACACTTTCCACGGACAAAAAAAAAAAAAAAATATTACATAGATAAAGCCCTTCGTAAAGTGTGGGCTGTACTTGTCAGAACAATTTTTTGTATCTCTTTGAGGCATGGACTTCCAGAAATCTCTCCGATTAGTCTACTGGAATCTTTTCCAACCATTCCTAGGGCTCCAACTACAACAGGGATTGTTGATGTCCCCATATACCACATTTTTGAGATTTCTATTTCAAGGTCCTTGTATTATTATTATTATTTGGCACAGTAAACCAACTTTCTTATCAGCATACCTAGCACCGGATTCAATAAAACCTTTTCACTTCATGTCAGCGGAAAATGTTAACCCAAAATGGCGCAACGAGTCATTCCCTTGGATGTTAGCATCAGCCGTGCTGATGAGAGGCAGAAAAGGGGTCTCTTAGATGATTAATAGAGGGAAGTTTTGAAGGCGTTAAAATTAACATACTATTCCTTACCTCAGTTACCAGAAGATTGTAGGTGCTTTTTAAGATCAGCTACCAATTTGACCTTATCGATCTGATCAGACATATTATTGAGATAGGAATAAATAGAAAGATAAAAATTAAGAACTAAAGTAGATCTAAGAATAGAGCCCTGGAGGACTCTATTCTTGGGCCTACTTTGTTCAGACACCTTTGCACAGACCCCCCCAGTATTAGTGCAAAAGTTCTAGAAGAGTGGACATTCAGAATAATTTTCATTTCGAAATTTGATAGAAATATTATTGACATTTATTCGTGTTTCTGTAGTTAGTTAATTTGTTTATTATTTAATTAATTTTTTAGTCTATTTATTTTAATATTTAGTTGATTATTATTCGTTATAATATTTTAGTTCTATCTTTGTCTATAGTATGTTACATTATCTGCGTTGTATATAATGAACATTTCTTTGTGTTACACACACACACGTACACACACATATATCATAACGGTCCGGGTTCGATTCTCGGTAGTGGATATGCACTGTTGATGAGTTTCAAAAAAATGCAAAACTGCCGTCCAGTGTGTTCTGTTGAGTATTCTTGTTCTCGACTCGATGAATTATTACGTGAAAAATATATATTTTTATTCTCTCTCTCTCTCTCTCTCTCTCTCTCTCTATATATATATATATATATATATATATATATATATATATATATATATATATATATATATATATATATATATATATATGTAAATGCTGCTCAAAGATTGGGGAGCTTAAGTCACAAAATAGGCCGAAGAAAAAAAAGGGAAATTTGATAGAAAATGATGTCTTCATTTCCCGGTGTAGTGATTTCGGAAGATGTTATGTAATATGCGACAAAACAAGGAAAGTAACGGATAACATAAAATTAATCAAAGACTTCCTTTGTATAGCACCACGTAAATATAATTACAGTGTTATACTCAGTAAGAATGGTTCACAAGACAAGTACACATTTACTTATTTTATAACATAAAGAACTGATTCTCTGTCCGTTTTGCATTGTCTGCATGTGATTTTGCATGCGCGTATGTAACATATGTAATGTATATGTGTATGATTGTGTTCTGCGTGAGAGACTTACATGTGTTTGCATCATGTAAATTGCAAACAAGCACCCCCACCACCACACATCAATTTGACCGAGTTTCAAAGAAGACACTGGGATAATATATTCCTTTATCAATCCATACACATATAAATTTGGAGACAAGAAAAAACATTACTTTTTAAAGCCTTAAAATTAAAGATGTTATTGAAATAGGAAGTTATTTTGTAATAAATAGAATTATTTTTCAAAGCTTTTAAAAATCATTCTTATTATTACAAATATTTTTATATCTGTCATTCAATTAAAATATACATCGTACATACAGTTTTCATCAACTTGAAACGGACATTTGTGTCACGAGCATTCATTCTGTTTAGGTAACAAGATAAAAATATATCTATGAAAGAATATTAAAAAAAAATTATTTGGATCTTGAAATTGAAAAATGTGTCACTTTAAAGCTACTTTGACATCTAATAATAATTACAAGCCTGAAAAATTATAGGCAAGAATATTAACCAGATCCCTGTTAATACTTGTTAATCCCTGTTTATAAGAGATTAAAAGTATGGATCGCTAAGTATCACTTAATATC